AATAGAATGGATGATAGAATGACAATAGCAGTGATGATTCTAATGATCTTAGCGACGACTGTGATGATAATGACAATGATAATGATAATGATAGTAACAATGATAATGATGAGGATAGTAACAATGATAATGATAATAATAGTAACAATGATAATGATAATGATAGTAACAATGATAATGATAATGATAGTAACAATGATAATGATAATAATGATACTACAACTGTTGCTACTACACCTACTGCTAATTATATTGATAATAGTTGGTAATATCATTAATGAGGATGATCATCATGATAATAATAATGATGATAATAATATTGGTAATGATACTGATAATAATGATGAAGATGATGATGATGATGATGATAATCATAATGATGACAAAAATAACGGTAATGGTAATATAGATGATAATAATAACGAAAATAATAATAATAATAATAATAATAACAACAATGATAATGATATTGATGATGATATAGATAACAATCATAATAATAACAATGACGATCATAATGATGATAATGATAATTATCACCATGATAATGATAATGGTAGCGGCGAGCACCAGGCATTAATTAGACTACATACAGAAAAACTGAAACAAACCCACACATCACATGTCTATCTTACAGAAGCAGAACCCGTCATTAAGAGTTCTCTGCCATTACAGGAAGAAAATTATAACAGTATAGATTGTGGAAGCAAATTATAACAGTATAGATTGTGGAAGCAAATTATAACAGTATAGATTGTGGAAGCTATAGATTGTGGAAGGAAATTATAGCAGTATAGATTGTGGAAGCAAATTATAACAGTATAGATTGTGAAGCAATTATAACAGTATAAGCAAATTATAACAGTATAGATTGTGGAAGCAAATTGTAACAGTATAGATTGTGGAAGCAAATTATAACAGTATAGATATCTGTGGATTCCAGGTGGCGCTGCTGTATAAGAAGAAACCTTTCTGTGGTGGTTCTATCATCAGTGACAGAGTAATCCTCACAGCTGCACACTGCACGGATGGGTGAGTGTGTGGCCTTGCAATTATATGCTATGGACACATACGGAGATTTGTTTATTCGGATGATTAATATTTATTTACACGAGTGATTATGTGTTATGATGAGACACGTGCGCTATGAGAAGCGTGTTTGCGAGCTGGGGTGAAGATGTAAGTATTGTGTGTGGATGGATGGATGTGTCTTACGTCAAGACACTCTTCCTGTATCTCTCTCTCTGTGTCTGTCTGTCTGTCTGTCTGCTGTCTCTCTCCTCCTCCTCCTCTCTCTCTCTCTCTCTCTGTCTGTCTCCCTCTCCCTACCCCCCCCTCTCTCTTGTCTATTTCGAAAGAGAGAGAGAGAGAGAGATAGAGAGAGAGAGAGAGAGAGAGAGAGAGAGAGAGAGAGAGAGAGAGAGAGAGAGAGAGAGAGAGAGAGAGAGAGAGAGAGAGAGAGAGAGAGAGAGAGAAAGACATTCAGCAATCATTCAATGGTTAGAGATGAGCAAATGTCACTGCGACAAACGTAGAAAAGGTATGGATGAGAATGAATAACTTCATAACACAAGAGATGTATTTGACGGGTTTCCTGACGTAGACATGGCAGAAAGCGGACAAAAACATTACTTGCACTAGGAAGATATCCTTTCTCATCCATGCTTTTCATACAAGATCTGGAGAGACAGACAAAGGCAGGAAGAAGTTATATATGGATACAATAAAAAAAACTTAAAAATATGTAATAGTATGCATAGTCATATACATAAAATTTAATAATTATGTGATAAGATGAAATAATTATATACATAAAATTTAATAATTATATAATAAGATGAAATAATTATATACAAAAAATAGGTATAATAAAATATGTTATAAGATATGATACAAAATAAAATATAGAATATGATATAGAATTATTTAATAAAATAATTATACACATCAAATTATATACCTAGAATAATTATATACATAAAAAAAAATATATATAATGAAAAAGCTGCCCCCCACCCCACCCCCCCCTGCTCGATCTGGTAATGTATTCACAGTGGCAATCCAAACATTTAAAGAGTGGAAGTTAAAAGATCAAAGGATACATTACGACTGTGTTATGAGCCTCTATGCACCATGTGCCTACAAATGTACTCTTTCAAAGCAGTTTTTTCTTTTTTTAGTGGTGTTGCATGCCTGCAAATGTACTCTTTGAAAGCTGTTTTTTTTTTTCTTTTTTTCAGTGGTGTTGCTTTCCTGCAAATGTATTCTTTAAGAGCTTTTTTTTTCAGTGGTGTTGCGTGTCTGCAAATGTACTCTTTGAAAGCTGTTTTTTTTCTTTTTTCAGTGGTGTTGCTTTCCTGCAAATGTACTCTTTGAAAGCTGTTTTTTTTTTTCAGTGGTGTTGCTTTCCTGCAAATGTACTCTTTGAAAGCTGTTTTTTCTTTTTTCAGTGGTGTTGCTTTCTGCAAATGTACTCTTTGAAAGCTGTTTTTTCTTTTTC